CTCTCTCTCTCTCTCTCTCCCCCTCTTTCTTTGTCCGTCTCAGTTCTCTGTCTCACTCATGGCACTCTCCCATTCCTGGTTCGTCATCAAAGCCATTAATGGGGGAGCCAAAATCTCCATCACAAGATCAGCTTCATCAAACGGCATCCTCCTCATCCAGAGTCCCACCACTGCCTCCGCCGCTACCCAGCCAACCCTCCTCCCTCCTCCAACCATCCCAAAATAGAAAAAGTAGAAGCAAAGTCCTCCGAGTGTTTCGCTCCGTTTTCCGGTCCTTCCCCATCATCACCCCCGCCTGCAGGATGCCGTCACTCCCCATGGGGAGGATGGACTCCAGCAAGACCGCCTCCTCTGGAACCCGAGTCAGCGGCACGCTGTTCGGGTACCGGAAAGGACGCGTGTCCCTGTCCATTCAAGAAACCCCTAGGTGTCTCCCAAGCCTTGTAGTTGAGCTGGCCATGCAGACGAACGTGCTTCAGAAGGAGATGGGGTCTGGGATGGTGAGGATTGCGTTGGAATGCGAGAAGAGAGCGGATAAGGACAAGACGAGTCTTCTGGACGAGCCGATGTGGACCATGTATTGCAACGGGAAGAAGAGTGGCTATGCGGTGAAGAGGGAGGCTGCGGAGGAAGACTTGAGTGTCATGGAGCTTCTCAAGGCTGTGACTATGGGCGCAGCTGTCTTACCCGGGAAGTCTGAGGTTGAGGGCCCGGATGGCGAGATGGTGTACATGCGGGCCCTCTTCGAACGCATTGTGGGCTCGAAGGACTCAGAGACCTTGTACATGTTGAGCCCAGAAGGAAATAATGGGCCTGAGCTCAGTATTTTCTTTGTAAGGATATGATAATATATGTGACATTGTAACTTATACTAGGGGAAGGGAAAGAAGTAGACTTATTGTGATTTATGTATGAATTAGGGTAGAAACAAGAATTGTTACCCAAGATAAGACGTTGGCTTAATGAAATGACGGTGAAGGGTGTCTTCGATTCATTTGATTCATCAACAAAGATGCATCTTTCGATTCATTATCTGTTCATTAATTAATGTAGATTGTTTACACTTAGAAAAATTAGATATATTCCAGCCCAGAACTACTCCTGTTGCATATATGTATGTAGCCAGAGGGTCAAGTAGTAACAATGACAATGAGCCACTGCAAAATAGAAGTTGGAGATGTCCAAGTTTGAATAGAGATGGTCAATGGGCTGGGCTGGACTCCAGTTAGGAGAAAGAAAATAACGGGTCAGGCCAAGCTTCATAGGTTAGGCCTGAGAAAGCCCACCGAACTGGGCCCAAATGAGCTTACATTGTTTTGTCTTTTTTTTCTTTCCCTTTTTTTATAAAAAGTTTATAGTTCTATTTTTCGTTGTCTCTATGTT